GACCACTTTTGCTGCTAATAATAAGGAATTATCATGGAGTCAGTTCAAGAATAGAAATGTAAAATTTTTGGTCATTTTTTCTGAATTAAGTCATGTTTATTGAACAGGAATTGAAAGTGTAATTTCAAGTTATAATCGCAAATAAAATAATTTTTAGAAAGGAATTTAGTCATGCCGCAAACTCTAATCTAAATATCTTTGAAACCAAATGTCATAGACCATAGGTATTTCAAAACTTAGATAAAATAGAAATAGAATCTAAATCCTTCTTTGTTTTTTTCCCCGTTTTACAGTTTTTATCCATGTAATTCAAAATTGTGTAAAAAGTGGAAAAGAAAGATAAATTTTAATATTGTGTAATAATATTATTATGTGTGAACATTCATTTATTTGGAAAAGTCATCGATTACCAGTATTCAACGTATTATGCTTGCATGCAGAAGATAATATGTTAAAAAATCATAATTAAACATATTTTTAACATTAAAGTTTATTGTGCTTTTATAACAATCCTAGCAATTTATAACTGCAAGCCTTTCGTAAAATTTTGAAATAATCTAATTAAGAAATGTTCTAGATATTGTTTTTAACATATTTCCAAGATAAAAAAACACTTTTTCCGTCCATTCGCATTTCTTACTGATTGTTTCACTCAAACATTACTCTAGTTTTGTTAAAACCTTTCCCTTTCTTTTTATTTCATGGGGGGGGGGGGGCTGCAACTTTGTCGTGAGAGAAGGGTATATAGGGTCAGATCGGTTTATTTTGTAGTAAAGTGGTCGTTTTCTTGTCTTGTTACCAACCTGTCAAGGTGTCAGTATCAGAGTGTAAGAGTGTCAGTGTATTAGAGTTTCAGGATATTAGAGTGTCAGGGTATTAGAGTGTCAATAGTATTATAGTGTCATGGTATTAGAGTGTCAAGTTATTAGAATGTCAGGCTTTTATGGTGTCAATGTAATAAAGTGTCGGGTATCAAGGTTGAAAGGGTGTCGGGGTATCTTTTTGCCTTTTTGACAATACTGCAGTTTAATGGTTTTTGATTGAGTTTGATTTGTTTTGTACTTCAATGTGTTGCTTTTTTATGTAATTTAGTTTGTTTTAAATTGTTTGATGTAATTTGTTTGGTATGGCTGTTTAGTGTGGTTTTGGTAAATGTGATTTAGTTTAGTATGTTAAAGTGGTTAAGTTTAGTTTCCATGTGGTTTTGTTTAATTTTATGTGGTTTTGTTTAGTTTCATGTGGTTTGGTTTTTAGTTTCATGTGGATTTGTTTAGTTTTGGTTTAGTTTTGTTTAGTTTCATGTGGTTTTGTTTAATTTCATGTGGTTTTGTTTTGTTTCATTTGGTTTTGTAGAGTTTCAATTGGTTTTGTTTTGTTTCATTTGATTTTGTTCAGTTTCATGTGGTTTTGTTTAGTGTCATGTGGTTTTGATTAGTTTCATGTGGTTTTTGTTTAGTTTCATGTGGTTTTGTTAAGTTTCATTTGGTTTTGTTTTGTTTCATGTGGTTTTATTTAGTTTCATGTGGTTTTGTTTAGTTTCATGTGGTTTTGTTTAGCTTAACATGTGGTTTGGTTTAGTTTCATATGGTTTGATTTAGTTTAATGTGGTTTTGTTTAGTTTCATGTGGTTTTGTTTAGTTTCATTTGGTTTGTTTAGTTTCATGTGGTTATGTTTTGTTTCATGTGGTTTGGTTTAGTTTTATGTGGTTATGCTAAGTTTCATGTTTTTTAAGTTTCATTTGATGTGGTTTTGTTTAGTTTCATGTGGTTTTGTTTTGTTTCATGTGGTTTTGTATAGTTTCATATGGTTTTGTTTTGTTTCATGTGGTTTTGTTTAGTGTCATGTGGTTTTGTTTTGTTTCATGTGTTTTTGTATAATTTCATGTGGTTTTGTTTAGTTTCATGTGGTTTTGTTAAGCTTAAAATGTGCTTTTGTTTAGTTTCATGTGGTTTTGTTTAGTTACATGTGGTTTTGTTTTATTTCATGTGGTTTTGTATAGTTTCATGTAGTTTCGTTTAGTTTCATGTGGTTTTGTTTAGTTTCATGTGGTTTTGTTTAGTTTCATGTGGTTTTGTTTAGCTTAACATGTGGTTTTGTTTAGTTTCATGTGGTTTTGTTTAGCTTAGCATGTGGATTTGTTTAGTTTCATGTGTTTTGGTTTAGTTTCATGTGGTTTAGTTTAGTTTCATGTGGTTTTGTTTAGCTTAACATGTGGTTTTGTTTAGTTTCATGTGGTGTTGTTTAGTTTCATGTGGTTTTGTTTAGCTTAGCACGTGGATTTGTTTAGTTTCATGTGTTTTGGTTTAGTTTAAGAGTGGTGAGCTCAAAACCTGCAGAATATTTAACTTCAATGTTTGGATATATCCAATATGGTAAAAACACTGAGTGTATAACAGAATGAATAGGATATGGAGATAAACCAAGAGGTCTCCAATGGGTCATTTTTTACCAGCTCTGCTTGTTTGTCGGCGAGGTTTACGACTATTCACATTTTTATCTATCTATCTATCTATCTATCTATCTATCTATCCATCAATTTATCTATCTATCTATCAATCTATCTATCTATCTATCTATCTATCTATCTATCTATCTATCTATCTATCTATCTATCTATCTATCTATCTATCTATCTATCTATCTATTTATCTATCCCTCGATTAAATTCCTGATTTTTTAACTGGATGTCCATACTAAAATTAAGATTCCATTTTAATTTCCTTACAATACTAGACCTACAATCCTAAACCATGTCTCCATTACCATAGTAGGAGTCCCTTACTGAGACTCCATTACTATGATTCCATTGCTCTCTTAGGACTCCATTCAGAGAAACCAATTAATATTCCATTCCTTTTCTCCACTACCACAAGGTTATTCCTTTACTTTACCAAACCTCCATTCCCAAATAAATCTTTATTACTAAATTATAATTTCATTACTATACTTGACCTTCATTCCTAAATCAAACTCCATTACTAAATTATAATTTCATTACTATACTTGACCTTCATTCCTAAATCAAACTCCATTACTAAATTATGATTACATTACTATAGTTGACCTTCATTCCTAAATCAAGTCTCCATTACTAAATTATGATTACATTACTATATTTGACCTTCATTCCTAAATCAAGTCTCCATTACTAAATTATGACTTCATTAATACACTAGACCTCCATCACTCCATTACTAATTTAGAGTTCCATTTCTATAAGAGACCTCCATAAATAAGACTCCATTTGTAATTTATGATTCTTTTTCTATACTAAACCTCCATCAATAAGACTCCATTTCTATATTATGATTCCATTACTTTTCCAGGTCTTACAAAATCAACCCCATTAATACTCTAAATCTATCATTAAATTAATTAAATTAATTAAAAATTTCTGTATAACTTGCAGGTATTTCTGAATATTTCTGTAATTTATGGGTGACTTGGATTTACTTTGAAATTCATAAAGATTATGAATTATGTTGCATAAGTTGAAACCAAAACTTTATAAGTTGAAATATAAAGTCGTTGATAAATGTTAAACTTTTTTAAAACCAATGATAAAATACTAATTTATTGATAATCAACTAATAATAGGTTCATTTATTTTTTAAGATAATTCTTTCTTCAAAATACATGATCTACAGTTTTCAAATCGTTTAAACTTTCTTCTTATGTTTCGTTCTGATTTATTTCTAGGGTTCTAAGGTTGACATCTACAGTATATTTTGAAAAACTGCAAAACTTAAATTATAAATCATTCAAATACCCGCATGGAATATATAGTAGACCTTCCTTCACTTACCTCCCAATTCCAACTCTTCTTTACATTTTTTCCCTTCCATTCTTTCCCTTCATCCAATTCCTTCCTTTCCTTCTTTTCCTTTTTCCCTCCTTTTCCTCCCTTCCCTTCCTTCCCTTACCTCCCAATTCCTACTCTTCTTTACCTTTTTTCCCTTCCATTCCTTCCATTCCCTCCTGTCCTTCTTTTCCTTCTTTTCCCTTCCATTCATACCCTTCCTTCCCTTCCTTCTTTTCCTTTTTCCCTCCTTTCCCTCTCTTCCCTTCCTTCCTTTTTCCCCTTCCATTCCTTCCATTCCTTCCTGTCCTTCTTTTCCTTCTTTTCCTTTTTCCCTCCTTTCCCTTCCTTTCCGTACCCCTTCCTTTCCTTCCTTATCTGTTGATTTCTAGATTACAGAAAGGGAAAAAAAATATTTGAAGAAAAGGAAAATTATTAAAAGAACAGCTATTATTAGATTTTTTAAAAGCACATTATGTTGTTTAAGTAAAAACTAATTAAAAACGAATTTTTATTTTATGTATACATTTTAAATTAAGGTTCCACCGGAGTAAGGTTAGAGTTCCACCCATGTTAGCAAACAATATTGTAAGCAGGGAAGGGGACAGAGTGCACACTGCACATAAATCCAGATAGCTAAGAAAAGTTTAATTTTGAAGACTTGATCAACTTTAAAGTGTTACAACGTTATAGCCTTTGATTTGTCCGTTATTTTCAAGTATTATTTCTCTAAAAATATTAACTTATTACACTAACAATGGAGAACATTTTTAAAATTTAACACTTTTCAAGGTAGAAAAACGATAATATCTTTCACATTGTTGATCAAATAAAGGTTTAGAGGTAATGCCGTTGTATAACAGGCATGCTCCTTTTTAAATGGAGGATAACTTGAAATTAAAATCAATTAAAATAAATTAAATTAGATTAAAAATTAAATTAAAATTATAATGAAAGTCCCCTATAATTACGCAAAAATACCTCATCATCCGGACAGCAGGTTTTACCGCTCTCTTTTAAAGGTTTATTAGTTTAAGCCACTCACAAATTGTTACCTTGTAGACCTTTAACTTCACTTTAAATTACTTCAACACAAGTACTTTCTCGAGCCTGTAGGGATCAAGTATTTTACACAGTTCGAAATAAAGAATGTAAAGGATAACACATTTTAAAGTTATTCTATTCATAATTTTGAATAAAATGCCCGATTGTTTTGTCGAGTTCGATCTTACACAGAAAACACCAGGTACGTTTTGTTCCATTGTTTTTGTTTCTCATCCGGTACAATTCATGATTATGAGAATGTACATAATACATTTTAAAATTTATATATATATATCTATATAATATATATATTTTAGTATGCGCGGTGTATGAAAGTGAAATTAATGAATAAATAACCCGGCCCAACTAGAGGGGTGTGTCACAATAACCTAAGAATTTACTAAGGAATGATCAGGGATGAATATGAACAAAAAGACGATATTCATTCGTCATCCATCAAGGATGGATGACTGAAGCATGTTGGTCTAGAATGAGAAGGTTTATCATTGGATGAATAACTACCCCAAGAGGAATAAAAAGTGAAAGGTCAAAATAAATTCTCTTCCCATGATTAACATTCATATCTACAGCAGCAGATAGATAGAAATAGATGTAAATTTAGATTGGTGTAGATACAGAGCAGATAGATAGATAGATATAGATGTATATTTAGATTGGTGTAGATACAGAAATATAAAAAATTAGAAATTAACAAAATTAAAGAAAATGATTACGCAAAACAAACTCTAGTTTTCTAATATCTAATATCTTAACAATATTTTAAGTTGATTTTATATTAGTCAAATAGTCGAAGATTGAAATATTTAAGGTTTACATCATCAAGTTGCAAAGATAAAGAGATTAGAAAATTAGAGTTTGTTTTGAGCTATCAGTTCCTGTATACTGGAGCTGAGGAGAATACTAGAGCTGAGGAGAATACTGGAGCTGAGGAGAATACTGAAGTTGAGGAGAATACTGAAGCTGAGGAGAATTTGGAGCTGAGGATAATACTGGAGCTGAGGATAATACTGGAGCTGAGGAGAACACTGAAGCTGAGTAGAATACTGGAGCTGAGGAGAATACTGAAGCTGAGGAGAATTTGGAGCTGAGGATAATACTGGAGCTGAGGAGAACACTGAAGTCGAGGAGAATACTGGAGCTGAGTAGAATACTGGAGCTAAGGAGAATACTGGAGCTGAGGAGAATACTGGAGCTGAGGAAAAAACTGAAGCTGAGGAGAATACTGGAGCTGAGGAGAATACTAGAGATGAGTAGAATACTGGTGCTGAGGAGAATACTGAAGCTGAGGAGAATACTGGAGCTGGGGAGAATACTGGAGCTGAGGAGAATACTGGAGCTGAGGAGAATACTGGAGCTGAGGAGAATACTGAAGTTGAGGAGAATACTGAAGCTGAGGAGAATACTGGTGCTGAGGAGAATACTGAAGCTGAGGAGTATACTGGTTCTGAGGAGAATACTGGAGCTGAGGAGAATACTGAAGCTGAGGAGAATAATGGAACTGAGGAGAATACTGGAGCTGAGGAGAATACTGGAGCTAAGGAGAACACTGGAGCTGAGGAGAATACTAGAGCTGAGGATAATACTGGAGCTGAGGAGAACACTGGAGCTGAGTAGAATACTGGAGCTGAGTAGAATACTCAAGCTGAGGAGAATTTGGAGCTGAGGATAATACTGGAGCTGAGGATAATACTGGAGCTGAGGAGAACACTGGAGCTGAGTAGAATACTGGAGCTGAGGAGAATACTGAAGCTGAGGAGAATTTGGAGCTGAGGATAATACTGGAGCTGAGGAGAACACTGGAGTCGAGGAGAATACTGGAGCTGAGTAGAATACTGGAGCTGAGGAGAATACTGGAGCTGAGGAGAATACTGAAGTTGAGGAGAATACTGAAGCTGAGGAGTATACTGGTTCTGAGGAGAATACTGGAGCTGAGGAGAATACTGAAGCTGAGGAGTATACTGGTTCTGAGGAGAATACTGGAGCTGAGGAGAATACTGGAGCTGAGGAGAATACTGGAGCTGAGGAGAATACTGGAGCTGAGTAGAATACTGGTGCTGAGGAGAATATTGAAGCTGAGGAGAATACTGGAGCTGGGGAGAATACTGGAGCTGAGGAGAATTCTGGAGCTGAGGAGAATATGGAGCTGAGGATAATACTGGAGCTGAGGATAATACTGGAGCTAAGGATAATACTGGAGCTGAGGAGAATACTGGAGCTGAGGAGAATACTGAAGCTGAGGAGAATATGGAGCTGAGGATAATACTGGAGCTGAGGATAATACTGGAGCTAAGGATAATACTGGAGCTGAGGAGAATACTGGAGCTGAGGTTAATACTGGAGCTGAGGAGAATACTGAAGCTGAGGAGAATACTGGAGTTGAGGAGAATACTGGAGATGAGGAAAATACTGGATTTGAGGAGAATACTGGAGATGAGGAGAATACTGGAGATGAGAAAAATACTGGAACTAAGGAGAATACTGGAGCTGAGTAGAATACTGGAGCTGAGGAGAATACTGAAAGTAAGAAGAACTCTGAAGTTTGCAAAGATCCAAAGAGTTTAATGTTTAAGGTATACAGGTTAAGAACCCATTAGAACTGTGTTATATATAATAAACGTTCTCCGACCAATAATAAATGTCACCAACCATTTGTAAATGCATACAGGGTGTCTCAGAACTAGGGATTTTCTTTAAATGTATGTTATGTTTTGAAGAGGGTAGTATTTTTCTTCAGGTATTTTCTTTGATTTTAAATTACTAAGCTTTTAGAGTGCTTTCCACCCATCTTCTATTTCAATTGTGAACATTTTCTCTTTGTATACAATTGTTAAACAAAAAGAAACAATAAAGCGGGAATTTTATTAAAAAAAATGTTGTGGATTTTCAAAAGTTAATGAAAATTAAATTTTGTTGTAGGCTAATTCTAGAAATTTTGATCATCCATAAACCTCCCCTGGGGCCATGCGATGTTGCACACAAAATTTGGGCATGATCGGTTCAGCCGTTTTGACGTTTATTGGATACAAACAAACAAACATCCAAGACATATATATATATATATATATATACTAGCCTTAGAGGGTGCTTCGCGCCCATCTTCTAAATTAATTGTGAACATGTTCTCTTTGTGTACATCGTAAAACAAAACAAATAATTCGCGGATTTTTACAAAAAAATTTCGTGGATTTTCAAAATTTTCAAAACTTTAATGAAGATCGAATTTTGATGGAGACAAATATTTGAAATTTTGATCATTCATAAACCTTCCCTGTGGTCACGTGATGTCCCACACAAAATTTGGGCCTGATCGGTTCAGCCGTTTTGACGTTTATTGGATACAAACAGACAAACAAACAATCAAACACCAAGACAAGCCAAATTTATATATAGATAGAGTCTCCTCAGTTCTTCTGTAGCTGTTACATTTATTTTTAAAATTAAAAAATAAGGAATTTTATTTTTTTTTTAATTTTATAAGACTGTTTAAAAACAAAAAAATAGTTTTAGATCCTGTAAATCATATTCTAAATTGTAAACTATATTTCCCAATAAATAAATCGAATTTTTTTTTCTAATTTGCGAATTTTCTGGCAGATTATTGCATTAGACTCAAAAATATTTCAAATGTTACAGATTTGTACCACAGTTAGAAAATAGAGCCGCCCGCCCCCCCCCCAAGTCCATTTTGTCGGAATAAAGAAGGACCGTGCTGGGTCAAAATATTGTACATTACAGTAAAAATGGGTTAAAAGGGAATGAGGTGTGTACTGAGAGATAGGAACTGGTAAAATTAAACAGCAGGATTAATTCATGAACTTTTCAAAAAGAAACTTTAAAAGTGGCACTTTTATAATCTTTAACATGTCACAGAAACAGTGTCAAAACGTAAGCACAAACAAATGTCTTATTATGTAACAAACTAATAGAATAATATAATCATGCTTTGAACTTAATGTATGGGTCTTTTATTGTGTACATAAAGCCTTTGCTCACTTTGTGAAAAGAAAGTATTTGATTAACGTTGTTAAAAATATTAATACAGTAGACATCGCCATTAGCAAATAAAGGAATAGTAAGTACTTTCTTCAAACTATTTCAAAACTAAATTGCTTCAATGTTTAAAAGAAAAATCTAATCAGCCAAATTAGTAAAGTTTTCATAAATCTTTCTTAAAACTTCATTGTAAGTTGTATTGGAGTAAGAAATATACTATAATACATATATACTTAATAATAATCATCAAAATAATCAATAAAAATAATCAAATCAACCCTACTGGAGTACTTGAACACCAGCAAACACTCCCCCACCCCCTCTAAATCCGTAGTTTTAAAGATACATTTTTCATTTCCTGTCAGATTTTTTGTCAGTTTTTCAGCAGAGCCAAGTATTAAGATTAACTTAGAATTTTAGATTTGCAAAAAAATGTTATTTTTCCAACTAGTTTTGCCGAAATAGATTCGAGCACAATAGATGGTAACGTAGAATTTGTACACTCTCAGTACAGCTGCAGTATTATTACATCATGCGTCAACTCAGTTTTTGAGTCCGCCAAAGTTATTAATACCTAGCTAAAGGCCCGGCGTTGCCCGTGGAAAAATTATAATTTTTCTTTGAGTGTCAACAAAAATGTTCAGCCCATTCGGTCCAGCCGTTTGGCCGGCTATAGGCAACATATATCATATAAAAATGAATGTACGTCTTGTTTTATTATATAGATAATTTTAGAATAAAGTGCAATGCTATTTGTTCTTTGTTTTCTGTTTTAACACTTTTTATTAAATCTTGGAAAAAATACCAACTAATTTGAGAAAATTTTGTTTTCCTTGTTATATTTGACACTTGTGACGTCGTGTAATTGGTCCATTTCTCTGTTGCCACCTATCATACTTTTGCCATTTTGCATTGCTATTTTGTAAATTCATACTTAATTTACATATGCTATCATTACGAATTGCTGTATAGTGTACAGTTCTCTGATCATTTCTAAAATAGAACAAAATTGGAAAAATTGCAATTTCTTCCAATTTACATTATGCACAAGCGCTGATAAAATAGAGTGTATGACAATGCAAAAAATTGTTGCAAAACTGATTGAGCCGCTCTCAGCCCCTTTTTAAAAACATTTAACTTTCTAATTGTTAAATGAATAAAAGAACTGTTAGTTGTAATGCATATTTTGTTGCAAAATGATAATATGCAAAACTTTGCAAATAGAGGGCAAATTTTTTAGAATTATTTGTCTCAGCTTCCTAAAAAGGCCTTTTTCAGGCAGTAGACCTTGACCCTCAGGCAGAATGCCTTGACCCTCAGGGAGTAATTACAAATTAAAATGTTTTCCTAAGATTTAGGAAAAATATATTTAGAAAAAGTCAAACCATTTGTTTTTCAATAGTTCTTCAATAAAAGGATTTATGATTAAAACAAATAAGATTTCAATTCTTTCTGCAATTTGCATTAGTTTAACGTGGGGTAAAACTGTGATGTCACGTGATAACTGATAAGGCGGGTCGGCTAAATACCTTCTCCGTGTTTACATACTCCATGTTTCTCCAAGAGCCTCCATAAACCATGAGACCGAATTTAGTTCTACAATGGCCACCCACTCAATCACCAGTATTTTGTTAAAATGTTTTACTTTTCTAAGAATATTACCATCGGAGAAAAGAACATGGTTGAATAAAATAGGAACAATTCTGTGGTTTCTAATTGGATTAGTGGGATGTGCTGGATTGCTAGTATATGATTATAAAACTTTAAATTTCGCTGATTTTGATTCCTACACTTTTTCTTTTGTAGCATCTGATCTCATTTCAATGATTTCTACTACACTACCATTCCCCGCAATGTCCTATTTTGCTACAAAACTCTACCATCCGCTACTAGAACCGAATCTCACAAGACCTCTTCGAGTCTGGCATTTGTTGGCTACAGTCATTACATTTTTCCTGTCAATGGGTTCCTTGGCTTGGGAATTTATTCCGGTGTATACATCTTTCTACAGAGTATTCATCGTTATGGCCGATATAAATCTTTTAATCTCGGGAATATCGGAGGTATTTATATTTGGAGTTGTATCGTCTTGGTTTTCTTCTAAGGTGGACAGACTTCTTCAACAATCAGATCTAGATCTTCAAGTTGAATGTGGAGAGATCATAGATCTATTTTCTCAGATGAAAAAGGGAGCAGCACCGTTACTTTTTATTGTGTTCGCTACTGATACATGTTTCTTCATCTTTATAGCATACATGGTCTCACAGCAACCCCTTATTGGTATCTTTATCCCATACGAAGTACTGAAGCTTTCTTATATTGCTTTTGTGGTAGAAGATTGCTACACTAAATTCCAATCTGTTGTCCCAAGATGCAGGTACAAATTATATATATTTAAACAAAAGTTAAAATTAGAAAATTAAAAATTGCAGAGAAACCAGAATTAAAAATTATCATTTGTCAAAAATATAATCAAATTGATGTCTTCTAATTCCTGCTTGATCAGACAAAGCTTTGGAGATACTGTTGTGAATCGGGCATTGTCATCTTTGCATTTAGGGTCACTTGAAATCTTTTGGAAAGCCTTTGATATAAGGAAACGAATTGCACAAGTTTTGCGAAAAAAAATTCAATTTTTTGCAAACAACCTGTCAAAGGAAATTTGCACATTTTTAGTTTTTCTTGATTAAAAATCAGGTTATTCAAAATTTTGCAAATTTTTTGCATATTTGAAATGGCATGGTCAAGGGCTTTTCAAAAATGTATAATTTTTCATTTTTTGGACAAATTTTTTTTTGCAAACATTTTTACTATATAACTGGATTTTGCGATAAAAAATTCAATTTTTGCAAATTTGCAAATTTGTTTGCAGATTCTAAAAGTAGAGCACAAGAGCTTTCCAATGATGCATCATTTGTCATATTTGGACATCAAACATGGGATTTGACCCCCCCCCCCCAGCATATCCTGGTTTTCAAGTACCCCAGCAGAGATAGGGTTAACATATTTATTATATGAATTTTAATTTACCAAAAATTCTATAAATAATTAGATAATGGCAACCGCAAATATTTTGACATTTATATTTTTCTAAATCTCCCATTTTATTCTTGTTGTTAGAATCATTTGAAAATTAAATTGCGCTGTCAGTCCCTTTAAATGTACGGATTAAATTCAGTCACTAACCTTACATTTGATAGCTTATTTAATCTTTTTCATTAGACGTAAAATGTTAATTTTTCTAGAAAAATCCTGTTATTGACAGAAAGATTATCTGAGGAGAAGGCGCTAATGGACACAATTCATCAGATAGAAACAGAAAAACCATTCTCAGCTCTAGGATTTTTTACTGTAGAGCGGTCTACCCTGACATCCCTTTTAGCAACAATAATAACTTATCTGATTATACTCAAACAGTTTGAAGTTTAAAAAATAGGGATAATTTTTCTTTTGATAAAAAAATCCACTTTTTTATATTCAGGTTTTTTTAAAGATTAGATTTTTTAAAGCAGAATCTTGTTTTTTAGAGGAGTTGTTTTAAAACCTTCTTAGCGTAAGGAAATTAAATAAGATAATATTAAATATAGGCGAAACATTGCAAACAAGATTCTGTGGTCTGCCCCACTACCGCCACGGAAACAGAGAGTTTTTCTTTTAATTTAAAATCATTCTCTATTTAGTGGTACTTTTTGATAGTTCATCTAGTACTTTAAATGTATTATTTTATTAAAAAATAATCTTAAATCATGCTGCACTACCTTATATGTATTATGTTATTAAAAAATAATCTGAAATCATGCTGCACTACCTTATATGTATTATGTTATTAAAAAATAATCTTAAATCATGCTGCACTACCTTATATGTATTATGTTATTAAAAAATAATCTTAAATCATGCTGACTACCTTATATGTATTATGTTATTAAAAATAATCTGAAATCATGCTGCACTACCTTATATGTATTATTATTAACAAATAATCTTAAATCATGCTGCACTACCTTATATGTATTACATTATTAAAAATAATCTGAAATCATGCTGCACTACCTTACATGTATTTATGTTATTAAAAATAATCTTAAATCATGGTGCATTACCTTATATGTATTATGTTATTAAAAATAATCTTAAATCATGCTGCAATACCTTATATGTATTACGTTATTAAAAATAATCTGAAATCATGCTGCACTACCTTACATGTATTATGTTATTAAAAAAAAATCATAAATCATTCTGCACTACCTTAGGCTAATATGTATTATGTTATTAAAAAATAATCAATAATTTATTAATTAACAAGTTTTATGAATTTGATTGATAATTTGCAGGGAAATTGTGATTTATAGACAAAAAACATATTAATAAAAGTAATACACAAGCAAACATATTTTATTTTGTTTTAATATATGAATTAATCAATAAAAATCAATTATTCTTTATTCTTCATTTATTGGGCAGACATCTTGTTGTAGGAGGGCTTTGTATTCAGTAATAGCAATCATCTTAGTTCCCTGGTATACAGGGCAACCACCATGTACTGTATCCTGATCAAATATTGGGTAAAAGAACTGTAGACGTAGTTCCCTGGTATACAGGGCAACCACCATGTACTGTTTCTTGACCAAATATTGGGTAAAAGAACTGTAGACGTAGTTCCCTGGTATACAGGGCAACCACCATGTACTGTATCCTGATCAAATATTGGTTAAAGGAACTGTAGACGTAGTTCCCTGGTATACAGGGCAACCACCATGTACTGTATCCTGATCAAATATCGGTTAAAGGAACTGTAGAAGTACTTTCATGTGACTCTTTATTTATAGAGTGACATATCCAGTTCACAACGGCACCCTCTGGTCAAGATTAATGCACGAGATATGAGTCATATCCTCTTAGAAAGTTAATTATATTTAATTTTGATGTCAAATGTAATTCGACTAGCACACTTCTGCTTCAGAAACAATAACAAGAATATTGTCAGAATTAAACACTTTTCAAGGCAGAAAACACACGATATCTTCCGCATAATGATCAGATTAAGTTTTGAAGGGTATTGTTGTGAATCGGGAATGAGATTAAATTGAGATTAACTTAAAATCACAAAAGGATACTCTTCGTTTTTATTCTGACCTTTAAATTTAATGAATTGATTTCATTAATTGAAAAATATTTTTTTTTCTCATAAAGGTTGAAGCACGTTTGTAGTAAAACCATAAGATCTCGAGAATAGATATGACGCAGTTAAGCTATTTAAGTATGTCACATGATTTAAGCTTATCATGTAAAGTATTCAATTGAAACGCAGTTTCAATGAATAATGTCATTATGTCTAAGTTTACAACATTAAATCTTTAATATGCATGTTTTTACAATTTTTGCTACATATTTGTATTATTTCTAAAAATTTAATTATGAAATAATTCTACCTCATCATTTCTACCCATTTTATCCACATTATACCAGACTAGAAGAGTGCCTGGTGTTGGAGCAACATAAACAGTTAGCCTTAATATCATAATATAAATATATAGATTAAAATTGTTCTTGATGATAAAGTCATTAAAGAGTAAATAAAAAATAAATGTTAGTTCCATAATCTTTCTGAAATTTATATTTTGGTCCGGATTTACCCTTTTCAGTTCTTACGATAAAATAACCATCAAAATAGATATCAAAAATAAAAAATGATTAAAAGACACAAGAAAATAGATTTTAAAACTGATCTAAAAAGGTTATCCGATGAAAATTAAAGAAACCAACTCAGAGTCAGATCATGAGAATGTGCTGGGAACCTTTTTAAGAATTAAATAAAGGGGTATTTATTTCTAGAGCTAGATTTTTTAACAGGGAAGGGAAAGGGAGCCAACAGGGAGTACATTATGCACATAACAGTTAAATACTTATTTTTTTACCTGGGCATGGCAAAGCCTCCACCTTTTATTGTTTCTCTAAAGTATTTTTTAAATGTAATCTATAGAAATAATTTACTTGGCTTTTGGTTTGTTTTAATCCAATTTACGTCAAAACGTAAAGTTTTGGCAAGACAATATTTTTTGTCCGTTTAAGTATAGTCAGTTTATGTATGGTTATTGGTCATAAATTTTTTTTTTGATGTCTTAAAAATTAAGCATAGAAAAAGCAAATAATAAATGAAACTGTACTATATAAAAGAGACATTTTTTAGAACATAATTTATCTATTTTATCATTTGGGTAATTATATCAATATAAAATCCTTCTACTTTTAAATTGATCACTTTGTAAAATATAGCTATTTCTTTTGAAATCAGAACTTTCCATTCATTCCGACGTGACATAAAAATATTTCAATTTTAAGTCTTAACTGAAGTTTCATTAAGATCAGACAGATTTACAAAACAATCCTTTCAACTTTTTTTTGGTAAACAACATTTTTAAATTTTGACCGACCATAACCGTTCCCAAGGTACGTATGAGCTGGGCCTGATTGGTTCAGTCGTTTTGACAGTTATTGCATACAAACAAATCAGAAAACAAATTTATTTATCCGAAAAAAAAAAAAAAATAGAATATTCAAGCCAGGCAACCAGAACTCTGATAGGGTACTAGTTTTAAAACTTAAAGTAGGCATAATTCGACTTTTGAATACTAGTCACAAACTTGGAACAAAAACTCGTGACAACTGGAGTTCTTCATCAAAGTTTTGAACTAGTCACAAACTTGAAACAAAAACTCGTGAAAACTCGAGTTTCTCATCAAAGTTTTGAACTAGTCACAAACTTGGAACAAAAACTCGTGACAACTCGAGTTCTTCATCAAAGTTTTGAACTAGTCACAAACTTGAAACAAAAACTCGTGAAAAGCTTAGTTTCTCATTCAAATATAAAAATGGTAAAATGGTGGTTTATCCAAGTGGTATAACAGTCGACTTTACAAGTCGTCAAAAAGTCTTAGCTCCACTTTAAAAGTCGACTTTTTGTCGACTTGAAAAATCTAGTCCAAAAATGGTTAGAATCTCTATTTAAAAAGTCGAGTTAAAGTCGACTTAAGGTAGTAAACAGTCCAGTTTAAGCCGTCTTTTGTTTTCTGAGAGCGTACCTTAGAAAGATCATGGCTATTGCAACTCTATTCCCTAGTTTCACTTCCTAAAACATTTCTTTGATGTTTCTGCTGTAATGATTAAACACAAATTTTCAACTTTATTAAAATATTGTAAATGAATATTTTTAAACGGATTTCAATTTAATTTTTCTCAAAAATAAACAAATTTCTTTTTGTTAAAAGATAGACACAAAAATATTATATAACTTTCACGACAATTCTTTTAATAAATGTGAAAAAATGGTACATTTCCTTTAAAAATAAAGATGAGTAAAGCCACGAAAAAAATTATGGAAAAAAATAAGACTCATACGGTCATACCTTCCTAATGTAATCCTCATTGTAGAAATCTGTATGGGGAGTGTGGGCCCCACCTAACCTATTCAAAATAATTTTAAAAAAATTTATTTTTATTTTATTTGTAATCACCTATATTTGAAGATTTCCATGACTGCGTCGCCAGAATTAAGTCCTGTAACTCGATTTATTCTAAATGAGATAAAAATTAAAATCTGTAATAAAAGTAGTTATTTTCCAGAATTACCTCTGGTGAACATTGTCGAAAAAAGGACTGTCCTCAACCTCATTAATTTGATCTCTATTTATAAAAAAATTATTTAAATTTAGACTTTTTCTTTTTTGTAAAATACAGGTTTACCTGAAATACAGGTTTACCTGACATACAGGTTTACTTAAATACAGTTTTACCTGAAATACAGGTTTACCTGAAATCCAGGTTTACCTGAAATACAGGTTTATCTGAAATACAGGTTTACCTGAAATCGACTTCGCCTGATCTTACCGAGCCCTGAAATATCAACATTTAATGAACAGAGATCTCCATAAATTGTGAAATATAATTACTACTGTAGCAGCTTAAAAATAGCACAATTACTGTTTTTTGACAATTTAAACCATATCTTTAGTTCAAAAGTCGTTGTTGTGAAATTGAAAAATCCATAGTTTTTATGTGTACCACTGTATTATCAATATATTACAGTGAGACTCATAAAACTGTGGGAAAGGAAGACGAAATTTAAGCAGTTGTGTGTGTTGTTTCAAATTAAATATTTTATAGTTTTACGGGGACCACTATAATTAAAATATATATATTAAATAAATACCTTTTCAAACTTGTTCTTTTTTACTTCCTCACTGGCGATATTCAGCTCAAAGTCAGTCAAAAAATTATGATATAGAGTAGCCATTGGGTCTTCTAGGGTAGGGACAAATATATAAGATAATCTATTAAAGAGAATGTAAGCGTAATTTCAACTTCAAGTACCCCTCCGTTTTGACCCTCCATGCAATGATGAAGAAATTTCCGATTTACAATGGTAACCTTGAAACCATAATCTGAGTCTGACCAAACATATATGGAAGATATCGTCATAATTTTGTTATTTCTGCAAATTTCTCAATTGTTTCTTACAAGCAAGAAATGAGAGAGTTTTTTTTGCATAGAAACCACTAATAAAAATAATCAAAAACATGCAAATTTAATTGGTATGAAAAATGAGACAAAGCTTTTAAGGGTACTGTTGAACTCGGGCATTGCCATCTTTGCATGGAGGATCACTTAAAATTACAATTACAGTCTCTTCAAAGGAACTGTAAAGGAAAAATGAAAAGGGGTATAGGTTGAAACCCGAGAATCTCAGGCGTTGAATGATACATATTAGATTTTTTTGTGATGTTCCTGTCTCGAGAAATTTATATAAAACTTTGTCAAATTTATAGAAAAATTCATATTTATGCAATTTTGTATAAAAGTTGTAGTATTAACCCTATTCCTGCTGGGTCTAATGATGTATCATTTGTCATATTTGGACATAAAATATGGGATTTAGAGGGGGGGGGGTCAAATTGACCCCCCCCCAGCGTATCCTGGTTTTCAAGTACCCAAGCAGGGATAGGGTTAAACAGATCATATTCAACAAATACAAAACCAATCTGAAAACGATTATATCCCACAGGAGCCTGAGAATCTCAGGTTTGCTTTTATTATAATTTTTTAATTTTGATTTGATACGGACTATACGGATTAAATGTAATAACATTATCAATTATATCTGTTACAAATGCAAAATGAAAATTAAATAATTATAGCAGGAGCAAACCTGAGATTTTCAGGTTTCTTTAGGATATAGTCTTTTTCAGATTGGTTTCGTATTTGCTGAATATGATCTGCTTAAACCTATATACAACTTTTAAAAATTTCATATATGTGAATTTTCGTATAAATTTGACACAGTTTTATATCCATTTCCAGAGACAGGAACATCAGATAGATGTTTTATATGTTTCGTTCAACGCCTGATATTTTTTAGGTTTTATCCTATACCCCTTTCATTTTTCCTTTACAGTCCCTTTAACCCCCAAAAATAATCTTTAATACCTGAGAGGACTTCAATGTATAAGTTTTCATAAAATCTTCTTTCAATTCTACAACTTTTAGTTCCTTGTGTTTCTGTATGTGAGATACAAATCCTGAATAGAGTAAATGGAGATATTGGAATTGGAAACTTTGAGTTAATGACAAAGATTTAACTCAGAGATTTCCAAAGATAAAGGTTTTATGAGCATTTATTCAAATTTAAGTATATGTGTATTTTCATTTCTTTATTGTCAGTCAATTTTTGGTTTGGTTTGATTGAGGCTTTTCAAGAAAAGATAAATAGATACAAGAAATCTAATTTTTAGATGGACAGATAGTTAATATCAAAACTACAATTTATAGATTGTTACCAGAATATTAAAGAAGGTGAGTTTTTAGGAAAAATGACTTTTCGACTTAAAATATAATTTTGAAACCTAGTTTCTAATTAAACATTCCTACTTTTGAAAGTCCACATTATTGCGAAGATCCCATTGAAGGTCCGAAACTTCATAATAATGATCCTCTTCTGCCTCGGATAAGATATCGTCATCAATATTTTCAAGAAAAATGTCCATGTATTTTAGCTTCATCTTGTCTGTAACATCTAATAATGCCAAATCTGATTACATGCCTTAAACTAAAATTTGTCTAATCCGTCCGTATATTTTTGCATACTGATGTTGTAAACTTTGACTGCATAATCTATTTATACGAACTCATAATTTGTCATATCAAAAGACCACGCTAGCTGCAAAGTTGCAAACAAAATTTGAGTTTAAGGCAAGTTATCAATTTCTTTGATTTTAATTTCAATAAATTTTATTATTATTTTTTCATTTTAGAGCCTAAATCTAAGATTACCTAAGGAGTTTATAAATTCAGCAATATATATGGATTCGTCAGGTTGAAATGTCTCTGAAAGATCTTCTAATGATAAATTGTAGGACTCCATCATGTCGATTAAAACCTTAACTACGCTCTCCAATTCGTTTGCTCGGAATCCAACCTGCGCAAAATCAAAAAATAATATATTTAATTGTATTTTTAAATTTTTAAGGAAAAAATTCTGAGTAAACTCGATCAGCTTTTTCATCTATTTAAGAGACTGGTTTGTTTCTACTAATACAAAACTATTCTTGTGTATAATTTTATTCAAAGTGTTTATCATAAATAAAATGTTTGGATTTAAAAAAAAGCTGAATTTGTAAACTAACTTAAACATCTTTTCAATATAGCTAAAGAAACTGTAGTCGTAAATTCAATTAACTCTCCTGTTCATGACGGATTCACAACGGTTCCCTGAAAAGTTTTGTCTTAACATGATAAAATTAGATATCCATGTTTAACTGGATTCTCTACAAAAGCGACCTGCGCATTTCTTCCATGCAGATAAAATGGAGGAAAAACCAACTACGATTATTGAAAAGAAAAAGGATAAAAGAATATCGTGGTGAATCGGACATGACCCTCTTTTTAAAACTTTCTTTAAGCATAAAAATGTCAAAAAATGATATTTTTTATATCTTGCTTTTAAACTTGGTTTAGAATCTAACCTTATCAAAGTGTAATGCAGAAACTAAACCACAGTTTTCTCGAACTTCGATGTGAAGCAACTTCAAAAATTTAAACCTTTTGTATCAATGGCCTTAGCATTTTCTGAGAAGATAACCCTATTTCTCCTAGTCCCTTCAGAGCTTTTACACCCCCCCCCCCCCCCAACCAAAGAGAATTAGGGTTAAATATTCAAAAACTAAGAACATTTTGTATGTAAGGCATTCCTTGTAACTGGGTCCTCTAAATATTCTTCGTTTTCTCTGGAAAAAAATCTATTTATTTTTGTTTAAGATTTTAATCTGATTCTGAACATAATATTTTTCTGAAACAAACAGTGAACCAGAAAACTCTGGAATACGAATACGTTATGACTAAACGGTAAAATGAACTATAGACACAGAACTTGTGGAGTGTAAACAGACCCATTTAACTCAATGAAATAAGTTACTAGTCCAAATCTGAAATACGAATACGTTATGACTAAATGGTAAAATATACTTGAGACACAGAACTTGTGGAGTGCAAACTCATTTAACTCAATGAAATTGATAAGTTACTAGTTCAACTTTAACTATTCGCTTTGTAACAACATCAATAACCTAAAGGTTGCTTTAATGTCTTCTTTTCATTCCAAAGTTTTCTGGTTCTCACTGTATAGTCACAAAAGTACTGCAATGAAAGTAAACACATTTTTAAAAAGCAAAAACGTTTTTACACGATTTGAACCCATTTTCTCGTATCTTCTTCTAAACATATTCTTTGCTTGTCTGGGTGTTTGTTTGTCCGTTTTTATTCAATAAACGACAAAACGGCTGAACCAATCGTACCCAAATTTTGTGTGTCACATGACCCCAGCGCAAGAATACCACTTGATCGAAAATCAGGAGTTGATCGAAGAAGCGTAAGGTAGCAGTTAAAGCTAAAAATTAGTTTAACATGTTGTAATACCAAATTAGTTTAACATGTTGTAATACCAAATTAGCTGTTATTTTTATCTTCCCTTTAATTTTTCCAGTTTTGTTCTTCTTCTTTCACACTCAGTTTTCCTCTTTCTCACTCTTTCTCTTTTTCTTTCTCCTTCTTCATCTTTGCTTCTTTTTTCCTGCCTTTTTCTCCTTCTTTTACACTTTTAAAACTTGAACTTCTGTCTCCCTCCTTTTACTTAACTTCTTCTTTCTTCTTCTTTCTTTTTATTTCTTCTTCTTTCTTCTTATATCTTTTTCTTTCTTCTTATTTCTTCTTCTTTATTTTTCTTTTTTCTTTTTTCTTCTTCTTTCTTTTTCTTTCTTTTTCTTCTTCTTCTTTATTCTTTCTTCTTCTTTCTTCTTCTTTCTTCTCCTTTCTTCTTCTTTCTTCTTCTTTCTTCTTGCAGTTGTGTATACTCTGCGTACATAATGAAACCAGTTCTCTCTGGGCGGAATTTGTAAACAAGAAAAGATGCATAGTGTTCGTTTAGTATCCCTGGAGGTTAAAAGCATTAGATTTTGATAATTTTGATAATTCATATAATAGTTTCCTATAGACCATAATATTTCATTGAAAGATGAATCCCATGTCAGGCTTCGACATCTGTCTTGTGTTTACTTTACCGTCCAGAGACAGTACACTGTAGTACAAAAGTGTCTGAGACTGCATACGTACCCAATGTACAATATTTTCTTTTATCAACTCTTGAATTTTGATCAAGTGGGTTTCGATCATCTCGTATTCTGCAAACCCAGGGAAGGTTTGTGGAAGATCAAATTAAAAAAAAACCCTGGAAAATCCACCAAAATTAGAAAATGATTTAAAATGGCCGACATTCATAGCAACAGTTAAAGGCTAAAATTGTTCACAGGAAAAGGGGCGTGAAATCAATTATATCCCCTCTTTCCAGGAGGATAAAGGTTAGCACATTTGTCAATTTTAAAATAAAGTATATTTTTATTCAACTGTTTAACGAAGAAAACAATTTTAAAAAATTGGATTTAAAATCGAAAAAAAGGTAAAAAACCTTATCCTCGCAGCAAATGTTGATAACTGATTTGTTAGTAGTTTGCACTCCGAGCTTGTTCTTCGTTCTTTAACCAGCTTTATCAATGCTTCAACCTCGGTTAGGTCATAAGCTGTATCAACCGTCTGAACAGAAGGTCAAAACTTTTGAATACATTTTTCTAGTTCGGACCCCAAAAGGCTTAAACGGAACATTTCCTGAAACTGATAGGAATTTTAAAACGTTAAAAACGTTTGGAAACTATCGGCGGAACATGTCTTAACTGAACTAAATATGCACATTAAACATATCTCCTAGATGCTTCACCTAGAGCTGTGTCTGAGCTGCTGAAAAAAAGCTGACGGGAAGATTATTCCGGATCAATTCCATTTGGATTAATTGTTTCGTAAACTTTTTTATTATGTCACATCAAGCTCTGTGTATTGTCTCAGGGGTAGATTTATTTAAAAATCAGAAAGATTTCTAAAAGTTTTCAAAGATTTATCATTCATCTTAGCAGCTTCAGGAATGGTTTCACAAAGCCTTTACGGATCCAAATTGATCCGAAAAAAAAGAATACCCTACTTTTGGCTTTACTGCTTGGTTTTAGTGACTCAACTCATTAACCTGTGCAACTAGGCTTTGAGTCTGTGTCACAGAATCTGATTTTCAAATTCCTATAACCTTGTAGCCTAATATCGTAGACCTTAAATTTTTCAAACTAAAATATTGTTTGATTAAAAATTAAAATATCAAAGGTTTACACCATCAGTTTATAAATATATAGGGAATAGAAAATTTTAGTTTTTGGAAAAGACTTAATTCCTTTATCTAGTCCTGGCACCTCCTCGCCAATCAGAGAGGCTTACCAAGTTGTGAATTGTAACGATCCCATGAGAGTCCTAAACCTCTTATATCGGACCAATGACAATTATTATATTGATCTCACTTGATCTCAATGAATTCCAACAATGAAAAAATCTACATTATATGCAGAACATGCAGAAGCATTATGTATCTAAGGTGTTAGCCGCCAAAGAGAAGATGCTAAGGTAAGTATTCAGAGAACTTAGAAAACTAGAAAAATATCTTTGTAAATACGTTGCAATGATTTCACAAGTAAACACTGCTTTTGTAATATAGTGTTCGCTGGAAGAAGAAATTGAAAATGTACGTATGATACTTTATTATCTTGAAAAGAATCATTTATCATTAATTTATCAATATACTTTAGGGGACCCCAGAGAGCCGTAATTTTAACTCAAATAGAGAACCACTAATTGATATCTTTAAAATTTCTGAAAAATTGTGATAGAAAATTCGTTTTTTCTTTTGAATATTTCTTAACCCTATCCCTGCTGGGGTACTTGAAAACCAGAAAACACTGGGGCTCTGAATGCCATGTTTGATGTCCAAATACAGTGAAACCCTTAATGACGAATACATCGGAAGAATTTATCAAATGTCGTCTTGATCTAAAAACCCCCCGCAGGATCTTGGGGACATAAACTTCCCCGTTAAGAAACTTGCTGTGGTTACTCAGCCACTTTAATCTCGCTTACTACTATCCTATTTTGTTCTTTGACACATCCTTGCTCATGAACTACATATATATTTGGTCAATTCAAGATTGGTGCACAACTTAAGAAACTAAACTACTAAACTCAAGACAACTTAAGAAACTAAACTACTAAACTCAAGACAACTTAAGAAACCTCACCAAACTACTAAACTCAAGACAACTTAAGACATTGTACCGTGGCAGGCGATTATATCAACACACAATGAAAACTATTTTTTTATTTTAAGTTTTGATTGTTAAAATCTTTATTTGAATTACAAGTTTACAAGTAAACAAAGAGATATTGGCAGCTTCTCTTGACTTCTATGTTTCAGTGTTATTGTGTATCCATGTTTTAACGGCATGATATAAATCAAAATCGAAATTAAAAGACGTCTTTATTGTATTGATATGATAGCATACCAGTGTAAAATATAAATATAAAGAAATATTTTATATATATAATAATTACACTATGCTTGTCTGTTTGTTTGTATCCGAAAAACGTCCAAACTGCTGAACCGACCGGGCCCAAATTTTGTGTGGGATTTTCCGTGGCCCCATGGAAGGTTTATGAATGATTAAAATTTCAAAAATTTGGCTCCATAAAAATTCGATTTTCATTAAATTTTTGAACAATGTACAAAATTATTCGATGAAATCCGCGAAATTATTTCTTGTATTTGTTTACAATGCACACAAAGAGAACATGTTCAAAATTATCATAGAAGATGGGCGCGAAGCGCTCTAAAAGCCTAATATAATATAAAGGAATATTGTAACCCTTTATCCCCCTCTCTGAAGAGATGGGATAAAACTAGTCTATATTTAAGATGTATCTATTTTTGCAATCTTTGCAGTTCTTAAGGGACAATTATCGCCATCAAGGAAATTATTTAATTAAAAAACAAATTTTTATAGAGAGATGATGATGAGAGATGATTTTACAAAATTGAAAATGAAAATCTAGATCCCCCCCTGGTTTTCAGTACCTTTGTTTTCAGAGTCTTGATGATTTAAAGATGTAGACAGGATTACTAAAAGTAACAAGTGTTTTTTACAGCATACAATGATTATTAAGAATACATTTAAATTTAATTTCTTCCCAAGTAAATATATCCAAATATAACTTATCTAATTAAAGGAAAACAGCAATGTGATTTAGAACATGCAGTAGTCCTTTGTAAATGATCAAAAGTAATTTTGTTTGCAAAAGAATACTATCTTTAACGATTTAAGATTAAAGAAAAAATATAAAAAAAATGCTTTTAATTTATAAAAATAACACTGATTAATGATTATCTAAGGAATTGAGTCTTTAGACACAAATTCTGATTTTATAATCCCTATATCTTTGAAACCCAATATCGAAGACCCATATATTTCAGACTCTAAATTCTGTTGCATCAAATATTCTAAGAGTAAATATCAAAAATTTACACTATCCGGTTGCAAAGATTTTGGAATTAGAAAATTTGAGTTTGGGCAAAGACATATTTCCTTTGAATTTCTTTGAAATGGAGGCCCCCCTTTTTAGAGTTAAGAAAGTTAAAATTTATAAAATCAAGTGAATCAAAAAAAATTTGATCTACCAGAATTCATAGTTTCAAGTATTAAAGGTCTACATCATCGGGTTACCAAAATATAGAGGCGAAAAGTTAGAGTGGCAAAAACTCATTTCCTTTCCAAAACATTCTTTAAATTTGATTTTCAATTTAATATAAGCTTACCTCATATTAGAGATAAGAGAGTAACAGAGATTAATTGAAGCCTATGATATTTTCCACAGCAAGTAATATTGTGAACAAGTACTGTACACAACATGATCAATTAGCAGATATTGGTATTCAGGGATATCCAAAGAGAATAGAATATATTTTAGAGGGGAATTTACTAGAAAAAAGTGTAAAACGGCCATTTTGTTGTACTGTTTCCATACTGCAGGTGTACTTCACATATTTATGCTATATAACCTTTTGTGCCCTGGAATATCATTTTATAGAAAATCTAAAATTAATGTTAAAAGAAAACCAAATTATGAAATAGGCTGGTTTCATAATTGACCAAAGATCATTTCACATAGACTCTATGCCTTTCACTTTACAAACGATGATTTTCCGTTATAACTATAAATCAAATGATGTTTTTTATTCACCTAATTCATTATAAAGTTTATTTAACAGCTTTAAAAAATTCGAAATTGAAATGAATAGTCTAGGGAACATACTGTATTAATGTACTCTACTGCATATAATTTATGAACATTTACATGATTTGTACACTTTGAACTCCCTTTCAGGCTGAAAGGGGCTAAAAAAATTCATACTGAGAGATTCTTTAAATTCCCCTTTAATATATATTCTATTCTCTATGAGGATATCAAAGGATCCTTTGGAGACGAAATAAAAAATCTTCAAAAATAGACTAAATTCCTAAATGTTATGTTTTAAAAGTTGTAAATCTTAATTCCTGAATGGGTATTATATGCAACAAGTGGCCGTTAGAGAGCAGTAAAAAAACGTTCATGAAACAGTAGCATGACATGCCGGGACACTTTAGGCCTGCTTAGCTTATCCAGGTAGAGCCTACGCGCATTGCACTGTCTGGTAAGTCTGTGCCTCATATTTTTTAATGTTAGCTTTTGTTTAACAAGATACCACATTAAACACTTTTAAGCTTGATTAATATATTGATCAAGAAGTAAATAGAGAAAAGTAAACAGAGGTCGCAATTTTCGTCTCGTTGATCCACTCAGAATGTTCATATCAGTAACCTGTATAGTTTGCTGTCAAACACAAACATTAATTCTTACTGAATACCTATAAAGTTCAGAGATTAAATATTAGAGCTTCATCTTTTATACACTGTACACATTGACCAATCAGAGAGCAGTAGCACAAACAATCTGCTGTCGCTCAGCCGTTTTTCGTGGATTTCTCAATCAATAGCTTTTATACTAGGAAATCAAGTCCAGGATAGGGCTGGGCGTTGTTTCTGGGGAACAACCGTTCATTTACAAGAACAAACGGAATTATCAAGAACAATCACATTGTTCCAAAAAAAAGAAATAAAAATATTGGAAAAATTAGTAAAAGAACGGAACGGAAAGGAAATTGCTTGAAAAGAATGTCAAAATCAGGAAAGTGATCTTATGGTCAAGAACACTTTCTAAGTCCAGCACACATTTAAAATCAGGAATGTGTTCTAAATCATCTAAATATAATCAAAAGACTTTTTAATAAGATCGCCTCAATCATTTATAAGCTGTGACCTAACTCAGGTTCCCATAGTTTTTAAGCATAATCAGGACCCATCATGCAGACTTCTAGATCATTTTTTAGCTCGGTCTTTGCATGCCTTGCCTTCTGTAGAATAATTTTACCATTGAATTATAATCTAAAAGATGTGTTGCTTCATGTAGCATGGATTACATCTGGATTTATCAGTTCCGTAGTCATGGTATTTAATGATGTTTATATCCTTGACTTAAAGCATGTTAATCCTCGTGAGCTGTCCTACATCTGTTCAGACATATTTGGAATTCTCATGACTACATTTCCATACCCCACAATGGCTTACTTTGTATTAAAAAATGACTACATGATGAGGGACAAGAATCTTGGTAAACCAAAACAATTTTGGTTATTCTTAGCAACTGTTATTCTTCAGATGATATCTCTAGGTTACGGGTGATAGATTTTTTACTTTTTTTAATTGGAACCCCACCCCCTTACCTTAGATGTCATGTATCTGCAAGCAAATTATTCATGACTATATAATATTCACCTCTGAAATTTCACTGGACTTCTCTACCGTATTCTACAAAAAAAGGATTCCATAAATGCATTACAGACACAGGGTAAAAATGTAAAGCAATTGATTCCAGATTCAATTCATATGTGAATTCAGCAAAAAAAACCTTTCATTTCCATTAAATAAATGTCAAAAAAAAAGCATTGTATTCAATCGTCCACTATAAGTTGTAAGAAAATCGTCTTTTCCCAAAAAAGAGTTGTTTGAAATTGTAAAATATTATCACCTTTCTAATAGGTTTACTATTGTACACCTATGCCCCAGGTTATAAAATCCATGCTGCCATTTGTATGATATTTGTAGACTTTAACCTCCTCATTGTAGAAACTACAACAACCCTGCTGATTGGAATCTCAACAGCAAGATTCTGTAAAAAAGTTTCTGAATTAGCATCAGATTCAGATCCACTCTTGATTCTGGAGCAAAATGTTGAGGTTCTTATCAAAGCTTTTACACAATTGAAGCAGGGAGCAGAATCTGTTCTTTTTGTAACATTTGGTATTGAGACTGTTTATTTCATTTTTCTCTGCTACATGGTTCGAATGAATCAAGAAATGGCTCCTTATGTATTGTTTGTAGTACTTAAACTCACTTATGTTGCATTTGCTTTGGAAAACTGTTACAAAAATTACAAATCACTTATCAGAATGCTTAGGTAACTTTTTATATAAACTTAAAAATACCATTTTTTTGACATAAAAATAGGCTAGTTTCCTTTCTTTAGATTTGTGTTGAGAGAAGATTTGATTTTATGAATATTGATTAAATAAATCTCTCTGAATATGGCTTCATTTGTTCAAAATTTTGTAGTAAAATAATTTTAAGATATTTGTAAAATTATTTTCTAGTATTATTCTTATTAAAAGCATTTAAAAATGACTGGCATTTAAAATGGCCTGTATTTTGTTTGGAATCACAAACAGAATGTTACTTACACACATCCACTGCAGGAAACATACATAAATGATCAAAATTAAACACTTTTAAACACAGAAAAACTAAAATATCTTCCACATTATTGATCAGATAAAGGTACTGTTGTAAATAGGCTATCTTTGCATGATTACTTGAAATTAAATGTACAGTCCCTTTAGTTGTTTGATAATACAAATAAAAAGGTTATATGCTCTTAAGATTTAAAATTTAAATAACTTATTCATATGATTATTATTTTGATTAGAAAAAAGTTGTCAGTATCTGATGTAAGCTATCAAGAAGAGAAGAGGCTGCTGGATTTGATCTATCAAGTCCAAGAGGAATCACCATTTACAGCTCTTGGATTCTTTGATGTAGACCGCAGCACACTCACTTCTATTCTAGCAACTTCAGCTACATATATTATTATTCTTCTGCAGTTTGATCAATAGGACGATACCAAGAATGTGGACCATGGATGTTCCATCGAGACAGCTGAAAACATCAAAGGCAAAAAAAATTCTGAAAATTCCATGTTTACAGGGACCTTTGCCAAGTGTTCCCAAGACCAATTTTGCCCACAAAACAAACAAAGCACAGCAAGATATGTTTTGCAGGCAAAATTTATTAAAAACTTTGCAAAGCAGGTTGGTCTGTTAGATTATATAATCTAGATTTGAAATATTATGCAGGTTGCAAAAACACTTTGAGGAAGACTTGATTCCTTTCATGTTAATTATAACTAATTTTTTGTGCGGAATTTTATTGTATTGTAAGAAATTAAGTAACTGTATAATTATATGTATATTTCAAACAATAAATTATATAATGATACATTATATGAAAACAGAGGAATATACAGAGAATATACAGTACACCCATGCCAGATCATGGACCATAAGCAACAAAGATGTTAAGTAAGAGACAAAAACAATTTTATTGCATTTTGTATTCTTTAATAGATTTTTGGACAAACATCTTTCTGTAGGAGTGCATTGTACTCGGTAATAGCAATCATTTTAGTACCCTGGTATACAGGGCAACCACCATGCACTGTGTCCTAAAAGCAAAATAACAATAAATCATTTTTCATTTTTATATTGATTGGAACCCTTTTCCTTTCAGAACTGTTAAAATTATATCAAAGGAACTGATTATTGTACTAAACTAATTTTGTGGACCTTTTTTATTTCAAAACTGTAAGTTATGCAAAAAAAATAGTCAAAGTATGAACATTGAATTTCTTGATAGTATGTTTGACAAACTGAAGGACAATGAGTTCAATATTTGTGTAGATTTTGTAATTTTTATCACAAAAAAAAATCCATTGGCTGTTTTTTAGTTGGTCAAATTTCCCTTAAAAAATGTTAATTGTTTTTTGAAACTATACCAATTTGAATAAAAAACTGCTCATGAGATCATTATATATTAAATGTATTCATACCTCATCGTTTCTTCCATAGTTATCTACATTATACCAAACTAAAAGACTTCCAGGTATTGGCTCAACATATATATTTAGCCTGAACAAATTTTTAAAGTAAATTAATAATTTTTTCTCATAAAAAAACTTTAACTTACCTGGGCATTGCAAATCCGCCTCCTCTTTTTGTTGCTCTGAAATTAAATAAAATAAAATTGTATTAAACTTGAAACAGAGGACTCATGAGTTCAGGTCCTTTTAGTTAACCTGGGGGCCATGGGGACTTAAATTGGCTTAGTATTTAATAGAATCAGCAACGTACTGGGAATGCAATAAAGTGTGACATACATATGGTAATGCATTCATTGTTGATTTTTAAAATAGGTTGAATTAATAATGATAATAGCTTTTAAATGCAATGAAATACCTCAAAAAAATCATTGCGATGGCAATTCTATTTCCTTCAGTTTCATGCTAAAATACCAAAAATGTAAAAAAAAACAATATTTCATGATTTAAAAAACAAGCATTATTCTTAATCTAATGAAAATGTAAAAATAATATTATATTGTGATCTTTTATGATTATGAATAAAATTTAACTAGGATTAATGCAAAACTAACAAAAATGTAAGAACCCGAATTTTTCATGATTAAGAATAAAACACAAGCAAAATTTGTATTTTAGTATCCCCAAATAAACTTGATTATTCTTTAAAAGTTTGCCATTTTAGATTGAATATGGAGTTGACTGAAAAATTTTAACAATTTAAAAAACAAAGAGAATGGTTTTATATATTAGTTTTCTTGTTCAAACAATTATTTTACTTAAATATTATAAGTAGGTTCGCAAATTAATGCTGTCCGTCAGGAGAGGTTTCAATATCTTCATTTTATATACTGTAAACATACTTCTTCAATATGGTTCTCATCATAGAAGTCCGTATGTGGAGAGTGTGATCCACCCAATCTAAAGTTTTTAACTTAGTTTTTAAGAAAATATGTAAAATAAATACCACTTCAATAAAATCACCAGAAGGTTTGAAATACACATCATGGTCTATATATTAATATTATAAAGTTAACATTTTGCATATGAGGATTCAAACCATAAATGTTCTTGCTTTATAATCACTATGGTAAATGTTTTACAAAAAACGATATTGATGTTTTTTAACTAAATAGTCTATTTAATGGGACTGTTATAGTAATTTCAAAATGACAATTGATACTCCAATTGAAAAGGTGCATGCCTGATTCACAAAGGTTCCCTTTAAACCTTACTGTGCTTAATAATCTGCAAGTCTTTTTTTATAAAAAAAATCATATTAATTGAAAAAAAGCAATTTATTAAAGGGTAATCATGGATATATCATCTATTCTTTCAAGAGTACCATTTTGAATGGAACTTGCCACTCTGTAAATGAGGGGGGGGGGCACAATTACGTCTACAGTCCCTTTTAGAAAGAAATTTATTAAACAATATTGTGGCTTAAATAAGAAATCTAATAATGTTTTCAAAAATGTGCGAAAAACAAATATTACATTTGGTCCTTATTTCATAAAACTAATATCTAAGTGTCCCTAAAAACCTGTATTTATAAATTTCCATTTTTAAAGATCCCGAAGTAAGTCCCGTCGCTCGGTCTATTCTAAGATAGATTTTTGGATTATAAAAACAAAAAAACAGAACAATTAAAATTTACCTCAGGTGAACATTATCAAAAAATGTACTATCCTCCATTTCTTCTATATGATCTCTAAACAAGTTTTTGTTGGATATTAACTAAAAATGAAGAGATCGACTGTAGAGAAATAATTTCAAGTGAAACCCTCCATTGATGGACTGGAATACCCTTTAAACCTTTGTATGATCCAGGATGATTGAAATCTTGTTTTTCTATCGGAAAAGTGATTTTTTTCAGAAGTGGGTTCTCTACGAAAGTTACTTATGAATATTCACTGCAGAGATAAGGGAATTGTTTGAATTAAACACTTTCAAAAAAATCATTATTTGAAGAAAGTTGGGTGGAGTTGCCTGATACTGGAGCAAGTTTCTTAACATGCTATGGAGCAGCATGTTGATGTATCTAACTGAACTCTCAGAGGATCCAAGCTTATGCAGCTGAGTAGAAATAGAGTCTCCCTCACTCAAAGCAAGAGTAAGGAATCTTCTTCTTGGATCATGAGCGTGAGTTCATCCAGCAAGTGGTAGAGTGATAACTCTATCCCCATGTTCATATTCTCCTTTATTGTTGTAATCAATTTCTCCATATTACCCTCTATAGGTTCCTTCAGGTCAACAGAGCTGGGAACTTCCATCAGAATGGGACACCTTTAATCCCAACTGCTTCATCCGAATATCCAATGTGGACACTTATAATTTCTTGCTTAATCCCTCTTTTTTGGATAAAATGCAGAAAAATCAAAAACCAGTTTTTCAAAATTAGAGAGTCCCTCCCGTTTCTGTATATTATTCTTATATGGAAAGCAAGTACAAGATTAGGTAAGTCTCGAGATTAAGCAAAGATAGGATCAAAACAATTGCGCGGCATTGCGTGGAGTTAACAGGGTTTGCAATTGCATGCAAATAAAATCTACTTGCGTTGGAAACCTATTTAGAGGGTACTGTTGTGCAGGGGCGGATACAGGGGGGCGGGGGGACATTCGCCCCCCCTGAGATTTCGAGAAACCCTAGTGCAAAACAGGAAAAATATCTGTCTTAATAAACTATAATGTGTGAAAAGTTAAAAATCTAGTTTTTTAGTCTTTAGTCATTAATTTTGACTCGTTTTGAGTCTTTTAAGTCAAAAAAATTTTTGGCTGCAGCGCAATTTTTTGTTCCTAATTATCAATTTTTTTGTTCCTAAAAACTCTTGCCCCCCCCTTACTTAAATCCTGTATCTGCCCCTGCTGTTGTGATAGAGGCATATCCGTCTTTTTTATTATTGGGGGTCTCTTGAAATTATAATCTAATTAAGATAATATTCCTAATTGTTAAGCAGATAAAGGTTTGAACAGTACCATTATGAATCGGACATGTAAATGGAGGGACACAGAAAGTTATGTCTATACAGTACTTTTAAAATTATAACCTAATTAAGATCATTTTCTACCTGAAATCAACATTTTCATCATCCCCTTCTGTCATGACACTCCCCTAAAAACTAGATTATATTTTTATTGACTTTTTGAGAGAATTTTTTTGGGGAATTTGTGAAAATAAAAAGTTGCTTTTGATATATTAATAAAGAAAATTAAATTGCATGTAATATTAAAATCTTACACGTTTTTAAGCATAACTCCTCTTATTGAAGTTTGATTGAGGATAGGGTTTCCACGAAATGGCTAAATCTTTTGCGCAAAATTTGCGCTATTTTCGCGCAAATTTTTTTTTGCGAACTTTCGCGCTATTTTTGCGCATGAAACGCAATGAGTTTTGCGAGGTTTTGCGCAATTTTTTTTGCGCAATTTGCGCAAAACCGGAAATATTTTTTGCAAAAGAAAAGAAATTTTAGTTTTGCTCAATTTTTTTGCGAAATTTGCACAAAACCGCAAGTTTTACGCAAAAAGTAACTTTTTAGGCAAATTGTCAAAAATTGATATTCTAAGCTTAGAATTAAACAACTGAAGATTTATTCCATACCATAAAGAAAAATATTAACATACGAGTATGATAACGATTATACTACACTCAATTGGTTACTTCCAATTACAAAAAGTTTAAATTAAGGGACCAAAATTAATAAAATAGAAATTAGAGAGAGTGAAACTTATTTTAATCCTATTAAATAATTTCAAGTGACCCTTAAAAGTTTTGCCTAATCAAGTATGAATTATATTCTTAAATTTTTTAATCAAATTTCTGAAATCTTTTTAATGTCATATAAAGTAATGCAAGAAAGTAATCAATGCCTGAAGAATCCACTTTTAGTAAATTTGCATGTCCAAAACTAAAATTGTCGAGAAAATTGTGAGATTTGAACTCTTCTTAACTGTCATTGGTCAATTATGTAAAAGTGACCAATAGGAAGACATTCCAAAACAAGATTTTTCCAGAATTGAATTCTAAGAAATACACACCGTCACCAACCGTTTGATTTTTACGAAATTGCGCAATTGCGCAAAACTCGAGTTGCGTAATTGCGCAAAACTAGAGTTTTGCAAAAACGGTAAAGGGCAATTTTGCGCGAAATGACTTTTGCGAATGATTGCGCAAATTGTTGTTTTTTCGCGCAAAACTGATGCGCAAAGAAAGAAAAAATTTGCGTTTCGTTCCGCAAAAATTGCGCAAAAGTTTTGCGAATGGAAACCCTAATTGAGGAGAACAAAAATGTTTTGAATTTCTTTTTTGAAACCAGATATATTTTTCTTTTCTCATACTTGATATATATATATTGCGTGATATCAAAACTAGATGAGTTAAAAGGTAACAACATTTTTTTTAATTGAAAAAAACCATCTTATTGTCCTTTTGATGGATGATACAAAATCCTTTTATTTACCTTTTTAAATTTGTTTTTGTTCACTTCCATTCTGGCAAGTTTAAGCTCAAAATCAGTGAGAAATTTGTGATAAAGCATAACCCGTGGATTTTCTGAAACATCAATAAACTAAATTCTCTTAAATAAAGTAAAATTATTATTTCCAAAATAAACCTGAGAGGACTTCAATGTGTAGGTTTTCATAAAATCCTCTTTCAATTCTGCAACTTTTAGTGCCTTGAGTTTCCTTGTGTGAAATACAAATCCTGAAAATTCTTCTTTAAGAGGCTGTAACTTGTAAGCCTAAATTCAATTGACCCTTTATACAAAGACAACAATGTCTGATTCAAAACTATACCTCAAAAGCTTTGTCTGATTAATTATGAATAGATATCAAAATTTACAATGTAGAAAACTGATTATTTTCAAATATGGTTTCTTTCTACTGAAGAAATACAAGTAGTTTACCAGAATTAAATGCTTTTTAAGTAAGAAAAACAACAATTTTTTCCTCCTTATTGATCAGATGAAGGTTTCACGTGTACTGTTGTGAATCAGGCATTGCCATCTATCCATGGAATGCACTTGAAATTAATGAACATCCAATATCCAACCCAAACTAATACTAACCTTTGAAAATCAACTTCATTTTGAATATCCAACAGCGAGTCTGAAACTTCTTCAAAATGATTTTCCAACTTTTCTGAGCTAAAGTCAGCTTCTTCAATATTTTCCAGAAACATATTCATATATTTTAACTTCATACTCTGTGGTAAATCTAAAACAAACAGTTCTGATTATTTTACGAAAAAATATACAACTTAATTGATACCAAATTGTTTTTTTTCAAGTTTTATGAAATTTAAAAAAATATTTCAAAGTTTCAGAAGTTAAAGCAGGTCCGTCGGCCATTTTTTTTTTTATATAACTTTGACACAATTTTATGTCAATTTCTTGAGACAGGGACACCAGATAGAGCTAATATTGATGGCAGTTTCATTTACCTATGGTATCTATGAACCCTGCAATAAGAATACAATCCTCCTGAAGAACTGGTTCAGTAAGTTGATGAAGGGATAGGTTGTAGGCTTCCATCATATTAACCAGGGTCAACACAACCTTACCCATCTCACCAGCATTATACCCGGCCTAAACCAGATTTAATCAGGTACAGGTTTATACATACACTAATGACTTAAGGAATAGTTACATAAGTTATTTATAAAGCATGCCATTACCAAACAACCAATAAAATAATAATATAAGATGCTTGGATAACATCCAAAACAACAACTAGAATAATTAATTATTATAACAAAATTAATTGGATAATGTTTAAGTACGTTGTTTGAATAACATACTAACAACTTATAGAATAATTATATAAATCATTTGGATAACACGCTATTGTCAAACAACTAATAGAACAACCATCCTTCTATTTAAAGACAAACCTTTTTTAGCTGAATAGAATTAATAAGTCCACAAGTTTTTTGAATATTGAAATTTAAAAGCTTCAGGAATTTAAACCTTTCAAACAAATTTATTTTCCACATTATAAAAATTTATTAATAACATTATAAAAAAGATATTTAATGAGAGTCTAAAAAATATTGTTTTTCCTTTCATATTATGGTAAATTAATTCCTTGTGATGGGATCTTCTAAGTAATCCTCATTTTCTCTGAAAAAATGAAACTAAAAAATTTCTAATAACTCTCCATTCGTAGAAGGTATGTGCAAATCACAACAGTATCCTAAAAAGAATGAAAGAGGTTTTTTTTTATCAAGAAATTTTTTTTTTCAATTGTGATTTCTGTACAAAAGTAACTTGCACATTTCCGCTGCAGGAAACAGTGAAGGAAGTTATCAGAATTGATTACTTTTCAAGCTAGAATAAATAAAAAATATTCTCCATAGTTGATGAAGATAAATTTTAATAGAGCACCGCTGTGAATCAGCCATTCACCTCCTTAAGTGGAGTGTCACTTGACATTTTAACAACAGCTCCTTTCAGGTTAAAGCGTGTAAATTGTTTAAAAATAAAATGTTATAAAATTACAAAAATTACCTAAGCTTTATCGCATAAGAGTTGAGGTGTTTTATTGAGGTTTTGCATCTTGGCCTTGGTCGAGAATTCTTTAACATTTTCAATAGAGCTTCAACATCTTGTAAGCTGTACATTGATTCAACTACCTTAAATTTTAATTCTTAAAAAATTTATTGTGCAGATATCATATGTACATAAATTCATTGTATTTATTTGATTTAAACAAAAAATTTTGTTAAATTTTTCTTTTATTAAACTTTGCTAAATTATTATCCTAATAAATATTATAAGCAAAAAAAAGGGATCTTTTTGCTACTGTTTTAATTAAAATTTTTAAATGTCTTTTAAACTAAAACACAAGAACATTGTATTTAAAAAAAACATTTAAGCATTAAGGACGATGATTTCAAAATTGTTGGTTTAAAATTTAAATTCTTAAAAGTCTTTGAAATAAAATAAAAACAGGAACATTAGAAAAAGCTTCAATTTATTGTATTTTTTAACTAAGTTTCTTTTTCAAAATATTTAATGTCTTGTCCTTATAGGCAACACAAACATGTCTGCCATGACATGAGCAGGGTTAAAATTTGGCATGTAATTACAGTAAATTACAGAATAACAATTTTGTAAATTGTAAATTTTTTCAGTTTTCTGAGGAACCTTTAGAAAGTAGAAACATCTTAATTTCTTTCATTATCCAACACTAACGGTGGATTTGATAGAGCTAACAATCACAAAACTAAATATAAAATTCAATATATTTCTTACACCATGGTTACAAAAAATTAATAAATTCAATAATTTTTTTCGTAGTAAGATTTTGACTCCACTGGAGACCACCGGAGGGAATTCATTTTCAATGGAGTGGTGTGAAAAAATACTTTTTACAATTAAAAACTTTATGCTGGGTGATTTACATTCCACTGGAGGGATTCAGATATCTTTCCAGGAGGGTTAAAATTCCACTGGAGGGATTTAGATATCCTTCCTGGGGGTTTATAATTCCACTGGAGGGATTCAGTTATAAAGGGGTTTATAATTCCACTGGAGGGATTCAGATATCCTTCCCGGGGGTTTATAATTCCACTGGAGGGATTCAGATATCTTTCCTTGGGGTTTATAATTCCACTGGAGGGATTCAGATATCTTTCCTATGGGTTCATAATTCCACTGGAGGGATTCAGTTATCCTTCCAAGGGTTTTATAATTCCACTGGAGGGATTCAGATATCTTTCCAGGGGGTGTAATAATCCACTGGAGGGATTCAGTTATCCTTCCAAGGGGTTAATAATCCACTGGAGGGATTCAGTTATCCTTCCAAGGGGTTTATAATTCCACTGGAGGGATTCAGATATCCTTTCTGGGGGTTTATAATTCCACTGGAGGGATTCAGTTATCCTTTCAAGGGGTTTATAATTCCACTGAAGGGATTCAGTTATCCTTTCTTAAACTTAAATATTAGAAACAATATTACTTAATGGATATTGGAAATCACTCACTATCAATGGTTTTAAAGAAAAAAAAAACTGAATCCCTCCAATGGAATTATAACCCCCCAGGAAGGACATCTGAATCCCTCCAGTGGAATGTAAATCACCCTGCGTAAAGTTTTAAATTGTAAAAAGCATTTTTTGAAACCCCTCCAGTGAAAAAAAAATCCCTCCGGTGGTCTCCAGTAGAATTGAAATCTTACTACGAACTTCTTTGAGTCAGAAATACTAGATTTGTACAGAAAAAAGATTTAATCATTTGTTAACAGTCATTGATTATGGGTCTAATATTTGACCAGGAGTAATAATAGTACAGTGATACCAGAAAACTCTGCTAAGTAAGACGACTTTTAGGCTCAAGTTATGACTTTAAATAGTCTATTAAACGTAAGACACAGGAATTCTTCAGTTTAAACAGATCTATTTAGCTTGATCACTCCTGTATGCCAAGTCCATTAGCGCCTGACCCAATCAGGGTTCAGTCATGTGTTTTCTGGTTATCACTGTACTTTAGATATTTAACCTACAGTGCTTGCTAATAATACCACGCAGCTAAAGGATGACCTAGCTTGACCTGACATTTACCTGGAGAAGAAGAAGAAAGAGAACTGAGTTCATTAAATACATTCTATAGTTCTCACTGTATAAAATAAATGTGTAACAGTACACCACAGCTGATATAAACTTTTACATCTATCTATCTATCTATCTATCTATCTATCTATCTATCTATCTATCTATCTATCTATCTATTTCATTTTTACTATATATTTTTTTTCTTTAAAGGAACTGTTAATGCAATTTTGTAATGATTTTCCATTTTTTTTAAATGGCATGTCTTTGCCCTTGAAAGATTTATATGATCAAGTATGCAAGAAATATTATTGGACAATATTCAATCGTGCACTTCTTTTTTTATTTGAGGATTTTTGCCTCTTTAAGCATTATACACTTCACAGCAAGAAAAACGACGATACCTTACACATCATTAATGAGTTCAAGGTTTCAAGAGTTTTGTTGTGCATCGGGCATTACATTTTTTTAAAATGAATCAATTACTTTTCTTTTCTATTCTTAAAACTATTGATCAGGAATCTCAGGAACGTTTAAAGGCTACCGGTGTGAATCGTATATGTCTCTTTTAACATCGAAATTACAATGATAGTCCCTTTAAATACAAAACCAAGACACAGGAACGGAAAATATAAATTCTTTTTTAAAATAAAGAAATAATTATAATTCAATTTAAGTTTTTCATTCTTAGAACTGCCTTTTAGCTTTTAGATAAAATACGTGCTATGATAATGGTTAAAATCTAATCTGGGACCCCCCCCCCAGGGGCGTACGAGAGCATTTTATACACAAACGAGCATACACTACAAATATATATACGAAAGGGCGTCATCAGCAAAATATAATTTTTTTAAAAACTATCAAGAAAAATTTAATGATTCTTACAATAAAAAATTGGCAAAAAAGTTGCATTCTACAATTAAGTAGATGTGATATAAAAGTATATAACTACTAATTTCCCCTGGTGAACTCTAACATTAACTTTATTATTTACTGTAGTTTAATAATTGAACTCAGAAGGGATAATTACAGAGATATATCATAAAAATAATTAACTCCCATTGTTCGTATGAATACGGTATAAACTGAGGTTGAAAAAAGATGGAGCCCGTTTCCCTTCTTACAAAATAATTTCCTCAAAGTTAATTAAATTTTTGCTCATTATCAAACCACACGGCCCACGTGCACTGACAGGAAGATGAACGCGGTACGTGCGCAAACTACGGAATGATGCCGCGATTTATTACAAAGTCTGACCCCAGCCCTTCTTATCTCTCTGTTAGATTGCGCAGATCATAATACAGTAATATTTCAAACACAAACTAACAATGTTAAGAGAGATCTGATGGACGGGAAAATTACGCCTGGATTGTGCACTGTTAGAAATGCCATTTTGTAAATTTTCAACATCATCATATTTCAAGCCAATATAATCAGTATATAGAAGACATTCATTGATATATCGTTTATTATGCTTGTTTCGATTTCTGATGATTGAAGTAAGTAGAATTCTAGTGAATGTAATTAGAATTTAGCGTACAGGCCGTAAATTGATATCAAGCAGAATTATCGTTGATATATTACAACGGATCTTCATGGCTTGGTGCGTGAACTAAATACTGTTGATTGTAAGCGGGTTTTTCTAACAGTGTGCTTGGATAAAAATATATAAGTTCTACTGCAGCTTGTTTTATTGCGAAGTGACAGCCTGTCTTCTTGTCGAATTTTCTACAAGTTCACTTGCTCACTGATCTACTTGTTCAGCTTTCTCCTTGTCTACTTTTATACTTCTCTATTTTTCTACTTGTGCAGCTGTCTACTTGTCTATTTATCTAATTGTATACTTGTCTACGTGTCTACTTGTCTACTTGTCTACTTGTCTACTTGTCTGCTTGTCTACTTGTCTACTTGTCTACTTGTCTACTTGTCTACTTGTCTACTTGTCTACTTGTCTACTTGTCTATTTTTCTTCTTGTCTACTTCTTTACTTGTCTACTTTTCCACTTGTCCACTTGTTTACTTGTCTACTTGTCTACTTGTCTACTTGTCTACTTGTCTACTTGTCTACTTGTCTACTTGTCTACTTTTCTACTTATTTACTTGTCTAATTGTCTACTTTCCTACTGGTCTACTTGTCTTCTTGTCTACTTTTCTTCTTGTCTACTTGTCTTCTTGTCTACTTATCTTTTTGTCTACAAAACCAAGGATTTAAGATTAATCAAAAATTTGGAAAAAAAGAAAATTTGTGAGAAAATGAATTTTCCGATTATCCAGATATAGCTTCAGGATAAATTCGGTGTCTTTAAAATATATAGATCTTATGGATGAGTGGAAATTGGTGAATATATGCACAAAATATACAAATAGATAAATAGATCAATTGATAGATAGATAGATAGAATAGATGTTATAGATGGATGAATGATTTATGTAAAAGGTAGGGTAGGTAGATGGAATAGATAATATAAAAATATTGAGTAAAAGAAAATATTCCCAAAAACAACTATCTTTGTTTTTTATAATACCATTTATGAATTTGTCTTCTAATATCTGCGAGGATGGTGGTTTTAATGATTTATGTTTTTTCTCTTGCACACCCTGTGGGTTAATATTCCGGAATACAATAAGTTGAAGGGACTGAGAATGGGGCAGTTTGACCCGGGTTTCCTTGAAATAGCATAAAAGCCTGGTATAATGTATATAAAGGCAGGGGAGCACAGTTTATATCGACTATAACTGTCCAAATTAGCGACTGATACAATCTCTATACCCGGCCCAGTGCAAGATGCGTGTAACAAGGTCTAAACTGAGACTGCCTCACCCAAACGAATAAAATTATTTCAGAAATATTTCTATCTAACTTAAGTTTTTTGTAATTTTTAAAATTATTCTGTCCTAGTCAACATTACACCTACCCAAGCCTGAAATAAAACAAGGGCTCTTAAATTATTTTTTTTTGCGTAAGATCTTGCAGTTTAAAGAGACATATGTCCCAAAACTTGTGTTTTATGATAAATTGATTGTTAGACGATAAAAGGGGTGTATTTTTGTTCCTCCAAAAAGAGTCATAGGTAAAATGTTAACTTTTTTCAGTTTAATATTGCAGAAGGTTTAACTTTTTCTTATCTTTAAATACTTTGATTGTCTGGGTGTCTGCTTGTCTGTCTGTTTTTATCCAATAAACGTCAAAACGACAGAACCGATCGGGCCCAAATTTTGTGTGGGACCTCATATGACCCCAGGGAAGGTTTATGAATGATCACAATTAAAAAAATTTGCCTCCACCAAAATTCTGTTTTCATTAAATTTTTCAAAATCCACGATTTTTTTTAAATCCGCGAACTTATTTATTTTGTTTTGTTTTACGATGTTTACGAGGAGGAAATGTTCACAATTGAAATAGAAGATGGGCGCAAGGCGTCCTAAAAGCCTAGTATACATACATATATCTACTAAGAAAAGCATCAATAATATATGTATATAAAACAGGCGTAGAAAGATGTATCTATTAATAACAGCTAGCAGCTTAGACTTCACAATGAGCTGACGTAAAAATATAAAACTTTTAAACTTTTTATAAATATATATCATTATTATTTTTCAAATTACATAACTCAGAAAAATGGGGTTAATTGTTTTTTAAACATTTATTTTTGAAGTTTTCCCTTTAAACTAATTCAGGATAAAAACGTGGGAAACATTGTTTCATTTCTTAGCAAACACCCACACAATATGGAGAGGGAGGGCTGTGGGCCTAGAAGGGGCGAAGGAAGGGAGGGGAAGGGAAGGAAGCAAGGGAAAAGAGAAATGGTTTTAATGTAAAAGATACTATGTTCGTTTGTCTGTGAGTCTGTATGTGTTTAGAATGTTACTGTGTATGATGTCTCAGTGTGATATCATGAATATTGATGTCATGCTTGCCCCTCCCCCTCCCCCCCCCAATCCTTACACCTTCCAAACCTATATCTATCCATCTATCTATCTGTAAATATGGATAGACCTATTTGTCTATATATATCTAGCTGTCTGAATATCTGACTGTCGCCCCATCTTCTCCTTTTTTCAAAATCAATATTTTTCAACTGTCTGCTCTGCTCCGTAGCAATTCAGAAAATGTCATTCTTGAACCATTTGACAATCATTTATCATGTCATCTTTCATCCATGTATATATCTATCTATCTGTCTGTCTATTTATCAATATATCTATCCATCTATCGATCTATCTATCTGTATATAAATTTTTTTTATGTATTTTCTATACTTAAACAGACTGACAACCTGACAGACTGACAGACTGACAGACTGATCGTCTGACAGACTGACAGACTAACGGACTTAAACTGATGTAATATATTTCAAAAATTTTATTATTTCATTCTTAAAATATGAATTCCTTTTAAATTCCTGGTCTACTACTAGGTGTCATGTTAACTGTGTCAAGTATATTTAAATGTTCTCATTTCTCTAGATCTTCTGTTTTTACTCTTGTATTCATAAACCCAGAGCTGGGCATATTCATCTTTTTAAAAATATATCATAGACTGTTTATGCAGACTATAAAACTGAAAATTATACAACCCCTTGTACATCATGAGCTCGTCATACAAAAAGGTAGATGAATACGTTTTACTTTTCGGGGTCAATCTGTAGAAAATAATTTTTAATTTATTAGTATCTTGTCATTTTGAATTGTGTGTATTACTGGTCCTATGAACAAAACATAACACCCCATACATTTGTACGGAGTATAAACAATACTTGCCGCAACTCTATTTATTCAATGTACTCTATGGACCTAGCTGGTACAGGGCTAAATTCATATTTTCAATTTAAGCTGAAACGACATTAGCTATGCAGTTTAATTTATCTAGGGTCTATTTTGTCCATTCGTTATATCCTCTTTAATCAAAATTTAAAATATATTTCGTTCATTCAATGATTTTTGTCATCATATTGATTTTTCAATTGTTAATCTAGATTTAAAGGGTACCCTATAACCTTCAATGACTGCGAGTGTCATTTAAAAAGTTTCAGGTATGAAAAGTTAGAGGGCTAAGAAGTTGTCACTAAGGAAAAACACATTTTTAAAAAACTAAT